TCTCGAGGTGTTAATGTCACTTCTATAGACTACCTTTTAGGTGCTCTATTAGTTATCACAGGTCAGTTAGAACATATGGTATTTGTCCTTTTGGGACTGGCTTTTTTAACTAAATATGATGTTTTTAAGTTTTATCCATTTTGTTGCAAATGACAGGATTTCATTTCTTCTTTTTTTTTTTCCTTAAAGATTTATTTATTGGAGAGGCAGTGGCAGAGAGAGAGAGGTCTTCCATCTGCTGATTCACTCCCCAGATGGCCACAATGGCCAGTGGTGCGCTGATCCAAAGGCAGGAGCCAGGAGCATCCTCTGGGTCTCCTATGTGGGAGCAGGGGCCTAAGGGCTTGGGCCATCCTCTACTGCTTTCCCAGGCCATAGCAGAGAGCTGGATTGGAAGTAGAGCAGCCAGAACTGGAACTGGCACCTATATGGGATGCTAGCATTGCTGGCGGCAGCTTTACCTGCTATATCACAGTGCCGGGCTCTTGCCCATTTATTTCTTAATTGACTTATTTGTTTTTTTGTTGTGGAGTTTCTTGATCTCTTTATATATTCTGGTTATTAATCTTTTATCAGTTGCATGGTTTGCAAATAATTTATCCCATTCTGTCAATTGCCTCTTCACTTTCCTGAATGTTTCTTTTGTAGTACATAAACTTCTGTTTAAGAAGAGAGAAAGAGACACACACAGAGAGAGAAATAGATCTTCCATCTGCTGGTTCACCTGCCTGCAATGTCTGGGGCTGGGCCAGGCTGAAGCCAAGAGCCAGGAACTTGATCCAGATCTCCCACGTAGGTGGCAGGGTTCCAAGCACTTAGACCACCCTTATCTGCTTTTCCCAGGCTATTAGTAGGGAGCTGGATCAGAAGTGAAGCCATTGAAACATGAATCACTGCCTGTATGGGGTGCTGGCATCCTAGGGGGTAACTTCACTAGCTACGCCACAATGCTGACCCCAGTGATTTTTTTTTTTTTTTTAAGATTTATTTATTTGAAAGGCAGAGTTATGGAGAGAGAGGGAGAGGCACACAGAAATTTTCCATCTGCTGGTCACTCCCTGAAGGGCTGCAGTGTCCAGCGCTCTTCTAGATGGAAGTCTAGGAGCCAGAAGGTTCTTCTGGGTCTCCCACATGGGTTCCAGATCCCAAGCACTTGGGCCATCTTCCACTGCTTTCTTAGAGGCACGTTATGATCCATCAGATCAGAAATAGAGCAGCAGGGAGTTGAACAAGTACCCATATGGGATGCCATGCCCACAATGTCAGCACCGTGCTGATCCGATGGCAGGAGCCAGGTACTTATCCTGGTCTCCCATGGGGTGCAGGGCCCAAGTACTTGGGCCATCCTCCACTGCACTTCCCTGGCCACAGCAGAGAGCTGGCCTGGAAGAGGGGCAACCAGGACAGAATCCGGCGCCCCGACCGGGACTAGAACCCGGTGTGCCGGCGCCACAAGGCAGAGGATTAGCCTAGTGAGCCGCGGCGCTGGCTAGATTTACCATTAATTAATCATGTTTTAAAAACTTTTGATTTTTCTTGTAGTCTTATATAGAGTATATGGTTCTTCAGGTATTCTTAGAGTTTTCAGACTTGTTGCTTTTTCTATTCTGTGAAATCCTTCTCTTGCTTCACACATGTAAAGATCTCTAATGGTGATTAAGAGTGTGGGTTTTAGAGCTCTGTTGCCTGATTTTGAGTTCTGATTTCATCACTTAACTATCTCTGTGGCCTTGTGCAAGTTTTTTAACCTCTACTTTAGTTTCTTCATCTATAAAATGGGAAAAATAGTAATTTCTGTCTCAAAAGGATGGTGTGAGGATTAAAGGAATTATACCTTGCAGTATTCAGAAAGGTGCATGACACATAATAAACATATAGTAAATGTGATTACTGTTACAGTTAGCCCCTCTTCCTGATTTGGTCACTGAAATTTGTTAATTTTTTTCTTTTCTTTTTTTTTTTTCTTTTCTTTTTTTTTTTGACAGGCAGAGTGGACAGTGAGAGAGAGAGACAGAAAGGTCTTCCTTTTGCCATTGGTTCACCCTCCAATGGGCCCCGCGGCCGGCACGCTGCGGCCGGCGCACCGCGCTGATCTGATGGCAGGAGCCAGGTGCTTCTCCTGGTCTCCCATGGGGTGCAGGGCCCAAGCACTTGGGCCATCCTCCACTGCACTCCCGGGCCACAGCAGAGAGCTGGCCTGGAAGAGGGACGACTGGGACAGAATCCGGCGCCCCGACCAGGACTAGAACCTGGTGTGCCGGTGCCGCAAGGCGGAAGATTAGCCTATTGAGCCACAGCGCCGGCTCTTTTCTTTTCTTTTCGTTTTTTTTTTTTTTAAAGTTATTTATTTATTTGAAAGGCAGAGTTATAGAGAGACAGAGTCAGGGAGAGAGAGAGAGAGAGAGAGAGAGAGAGAGAGGTGTGTTCCATCTGCTGATGCAGTCTCTAAATGGCTGCAATGGCAGGAGCTAGGCTAATCTGAAGCCAGGAGCCAGGAGCTTCTTCCAGGTCTCCCATGTGGGTGCAGGGGGCCAAGGACTTGGGACATCTTGTACTACCTTCCCAGGCTACATCAGAGAGCTGGATGGAATTTGGAGCAGCCAGGACTTGAACCGCTGTCCATATGGAATGCTGGCACTGCAGATGGTGGCTTTCCCCGCTATGCCACAGTGCTGCCCCTGTTAGTTTTTCTCTGTTAGACTAGAGCATTTATTTCCTAGACTCCACTAGCACTGATCCATGACAATAGCACCTCTTGCTTGATATTGCCACATTTTTTTGGAAAGATTTATTTATTTTTTGAAAGAGTTAACAGATTGGAAGGGGCGGGGAGAGGGAGGATGGGTGAGAGGGAGGGAGGGAGGGAGGGTGAGAGGGAGGGAAAAAAGACAATGACAAAGAAATAGAGATGTTTTGCATCCCCTGGTTCGCTCCCTACATGGCCAGAGCTGGGCCAGGCCAAAGCCAGGAGCCAGGTACTCTATCTGGGTGTCCCATGTGGATGGCAGGGTCCAAGCACTAGGACTGTCTTCCGCTACCTTCCTAGGTACGTTCGCATGGAGCTGGATCAGACATTAGGTGACTAGAACTGGAATTGGTGCCCACAGTGACTTTGGTGTCACAGGGTGGCATCTTAACCTGTTATGCCACATTGCTGCCCTTTTGGCTTCATTTATTGTTTGTTATTGTCTGCACTTAAGAAGGTAATGAGGAAACATTAATAATACAAATTGAACTGAGTATTTTTGTAGTCTTTACATTGTGAATTACACAAGAAGGTGAGAAAATACTCTTTAAATATGTAAAACCTTATCTAATCAGCAAAGAACAGCCGTTACATTCATTGATGAAGGGGTGAAGTTCAGGATATGTCTTGATTGTATCACTTTTAAAAATTATTTTTTGTTATATATTGACAAATTATAGTTGTACCTACTTGTATTTAGGAGAGTAGGAGGTGAGGTTAGTATTTTGGGGTGTAGCCTGAAATTAGGCCAGTTAGTCTACTGTGTCTGCAGACGTTCTACATCTTCCATTGTGAGACTGTTCAGAATCCACCTTGCTAGTGCGATTGAAATGTATGCTGTTCGAGTGTTAGCTCTAGTTCCCATGCTGTGCAACAGATCTACACACACATACACAGTCACACAGACTGAAAATCCTGTCAGACTTACTTCTTGGAGCTAACTGGGGCTTATACCCTTTGATTATCACCTCTCTATTCCTCCCATCCCCTAGCCTCTTAACCATGCTTCTACTTTCTACTTCCGTGACTTCAGTGTTTGGGATTCTACATATAAGTGAGAACATGCAATATTTTTCTTTCTGTGTTTGGCCTCTTTCACTCAGTATAATGTTCTCTGGTTCCATCTCTGTTGCTGGAAAAGACAGAATGTCTTCCTTTTTTAAGGAATACTCTTCCATTGTGTGTATGTACACACATATATATCTGTTCATGGACACTTAGCTTGAGTTCATAACTTGGCTATTGTGAATAGTCGTTCAGTGAACACAATGGTACATACATCTGTAACATACTGAGTTCAGAATTTCAAGTAAATAAGAGTGGGATTGGTTGATGTTTTTCTGTTGTTGCTGTAACCATCATTTGGCTATATGTGTAGAGCAAAAATAGATTCTCTCAGAAGTGACAGTTGGTTATATGGAATTTGCAATGATGAATACTGAATATTTTACCATTATTTATAAATCAGCATACATCTTTCTACATCAGTAAAATTTTATTATGAGCTTATGTGCACACATACACACACACACACACCCTCATATTCTTTTTACCTGCAGAGCAGTTGTTGAAACATTAACCGGTGTACCACTGGCCACATACTATTAAGTAATTAAGCAAGCACTATGGAAAACAACACTAGATTCATGTAGCTAGAATGAGCCAAGAAAGAAAAATGAGTTCAGGAAGCAAAGTCATTGCGTCAGTGTTAAAACTGACTGCATGCTGAGCCCCGAAAATGGAAAGGACTAGTGGTATGGTGAGGAAATGAGAGTAACACTGGCTGGCGGCCAGGTCAGTCCTTTTACTACCAGGCGCACAGAGGGAAGTGTATTGTTGGTCGAATGGTATTTGTTTTGGTTTCCTTTGACTTCCTCTTGGTCTTGATGTTGTTCGACTGTAGTCTACTAATGCTAATGAGGAAAAGTATGAAAAACTTTATAACATAACTTAAAATACATGACACATACCTTTATGTGTTATGTTAATAACTGTAAGTAAGCAAAACTTAGTTGTTCTCCAGACCAAAAAATATTACAAAATATTTTTAAAATTTGGAGTTGGAACAAACTATAGAACAATTTTATGTTCCCTTTTGTGTACAAGAGGTTGCATCATTAACTGCATTACATTTTAATCTATGCATTCAGTTCTTTTATGTTTGCTATAGTTTTATTTCTTTCAAAGTTTTTTTTTTTTTTTTCAGAATATCTTGATTTTGGTTATGATGAAGTTAAAATGTTTTGTTTTTTAGCCATGCAGGATATACGTACTGTGGGTCTTGTGCTGCCCATGCTTACAAACAAGTGGATCCATCTATAACGTAAGTAGGAAATAGATAAAGTGTATAATTTAAAATCTTTGATACTTGTTAAATTGTGATCACTAAAAAAGTAATTTGCAATGACGGAATGAGATACTTGAAATATTTTAAAATCTGGCTGAATTTAATACCGTGTTTGAAGCTTGTTAGCTTTTAATTCAATGACAGTTGTGAAATTTTAAGAAAAATGTTCTGGGAAGTTGAAACTGGGTTAAGTAGTGTACGACTCTCTGAAGTAGAAAATTTGTCAACTTTCCAAAAGCTTCTGCTGGAAATAGCCACTAAAATTAGTTTGCTGACCATTAATTGTTAATTTACTACGTATTAGTCAATACCATGTTGCAGTCTAGTTCCAGATGTAGGAACTGAATAAGTTAAACAATTGATCATCTTAATTCTGTCAAGTGTTGATTATTAAGTAAACCTGTTCTAGTAGAGGTGTAATGAAATCATTCACCAGAAGTAACTCACAGCCGCCATGGACTTAAAGCAACCCTCTTTTATTTTTAGGTGGTGTTCTCTGAATATTGTATCATAGTTTTTTTGAAAAAAATTTTAGCAAGTTTTTAGTAATGAATAATAGATGAAGTTTTGGTTAACCTTGCCTCTTTTATGCTGATTTGAGGAATATCTTTAACAAATACTTTTAATGCATATTTAACATACAATCTTAAGTAACTTCAGAAATAAGAACAAATAGAAAGTAAATTGAAAAGATTTTTGAAGGCTTCTTTCATTTTACCTGGGTTTATCAGCCTGCTATAGCATTTCCAATCCTTTTTCCATTTGATGGAATTTCAGTTAATGATGATTTGTGGTAATGGGATTCCCCAGAAGTAAATTTTGTTTAGGGATATACAGAGGAGTAGAGAATCTACGTTGGTAGGAGTAGAAAGCAGGTGTTAAATCGATAGATGGAAAGTGAGACTGGAAGGAAAAGGAAGAAGAAAAAGAGAAGACCAAAGAGAGGTAAATGATGGGTGATAATGATAGGATTGTTAAGTAGAGTCAAATAAAAGCTGAATTCTGAATAAATTTAAGAGTTTAAATGACAGTTGTAGTTAAATTCCTTTGAAGGTGGCATACTCTGAGGGTTGCAGTGTTTTTTAAAGATGAATTTGTTTGTGTGAAAGCCAGCGTTACAAAGAGAGAAGGAGAGACAGAGAGAGAGAGAGACATGTTCCATCTGCTGGTTCAGTCCCTAATGGCCACAACATCCAGAGCTGGACCAATCAGAAAATGAGGAGCCAGGAACCTCTTCTGGGTCTCGCACGTGGGTACAGGGGCTCGAGTATTTGGGCTATCCTCTGAGGCCTTCCCAGGGACATTAGCAGGGAGCTTGACTGGAAGTGGAGTAGCCAGGACTCGAACCTGTACCCTACCTGCTATGTCACAGTGCCAGCCCCCTTTAGAGACCTTTGAGAATATGGAAAGGACATCTTTTAGTGAACTATGTGAAGCAGAGAGAGCAAAGAGAGCCCAAGAGAGGTTAAATTCTATACCATCACTTTCTTTTCTTACCTGCCACATAATCTATTTTCTACATGTCAAACAGGGTTATCTTGTAAAATGTAAATAATGTCATGTCACTTCTCAGATCTTCAAAGTGATAGGAATGAATATAATTTTAAAAAGGCATTACAAATAACAGGTAAAAGAATATGTCACAATTGATGTTGGAAGGCTGCCAATTTGGAAAAAGAAATTGTTTTAGAGTCAGTACTAATCCATACATCAAAGTAAACAACAGGTAAAGATGTCAAATTAACTGGAGAAAAATTTCAAGTGAAAGCTAATTTAGAACATAATTTATCTAGATGCTTAGGAGACATTGTTAGAGAGATTATAAAAAGTGGTAAATTATAATTGGAAAGATTAAATTACATTTAAAATAACTTGTATGTCATAATGTATCCAAACAAATCAAGGAAAAGAACAGGAAGAATATTTGTAGGAAAATGACAAATAGTATTAAAAAACCAAAAATCTAATAAAAATGTTATTTAAAATTAAATAAAAAGTAATTATGATTAATAAAAGAATAGGAATAATGCTTTACTGTTCTAATGAATAAATATAAAGAAAAACAGCAGTGAGGAACCAGCTTAAATGATTAATCCAAGAATAATAGTGTAATTATTTTATATAGAACTGGGTATGGTGCAGTTAGTTTTTTGTTTAAGAAAAAAATGTCAATTGACAGTATATATCAGATTAGTACTTTAGGAATGAAATTTGTTAATACATATTAAGACTTATAAGAAATGTATATGTTTATTGGCTTATAAATTCAGTTTCTGAGTTTCAGTTCTGTAAGTCCAAGTATATAAAAAGTAAAATGTGCAACATTATTGTTTAATTAGTTCAAATTTTGAATAGTGAGTTCATTACATAAATATAACAGTTTATTCAATGGAATTATCGTTTAACATAATGGTTATGAAGGCTTTGTAGTAATTTGGAAAATATTTATAATAAAGCAGGTAGAGGGCTGGTTCCAAGATGGTGGAATAGGGAGGGCGCTTACTGATCTAGTCCAGGAGAAGATAGTTTAATTAAAGTGGAGATAGTGTTGTCTCAGGGAAGAGTTAGGGAAAAAACGGTAGAGGAAACTCTTCTGTAATTAGAGGGACACGGTAGACCTATGTGGAGGGCCTGGGTGCCCATGGCTTGGGACCCTAGCAGCCGAGAGCCTCTGCACCAGCGCTGTAAAGTGAGGTGAGACGAGACCGCAGTAGCCCAAGACACTGGTGGAAAAGCGGCAGGAAGAGCCTAGAGGGAACGAGGCTTGGTGCCCTGTGGGGGGAAGTACACCAGCCTCACTAGAGGAGAGAAAAAAGGGATGATATGGACATGATTCTATCCACTCACTTTACAAAGGCATGCGAGCCAGTAGAGCAGGCACCATTTTGGGTATACGTAACAGCTGCGCCAGCTTGGGCTGCGCCCGGCAATCAGCTGAGCAATCAGCTGAGTGGAGAAACCTGACACTGGTGGGCAGTAATAGCAGGATACTAAGACCTAGTAACTGTGTGGAGCTTCTGAATCCAGACTGTGGGGGAAAAAACAAAACAAAACACTGAGAATGTGGCCGAGACGTTTAGTAGTCTCGGTGGGAGACTCATAAGCTCGGGCGGCCCTGGCTACCCAGTGAGACACTGCAGGGGAATCTGGCTCAGGCGGCCCTGGCTACCTGGTGAGAGACATTGCAGGGGAATCTGAGCTTACACTGAGGACTGCACAGATCCTTTGTGTGGTCCTTGAGACAGAGCAAACGAATATTATACCCACTGGGGCTAGTGCTCAGGCACTGATGGACATCAAGGAAAAGAGCTCAGCTGAGCGCAATTACTTCCCTTCTGATTAAAAAAAAAAAAAAGAGGGAGAGAAGATATATGTCCCCAAGCCTGGGTATGTCACCTTAGGCGTGTCCTTAACCCTGAAGAACTGAACAGAGCTCTCTGGCCACACCCACCACAAGCCTCTAGAGATTCACTGAAAGCAGACATTCCACTTATCTACAGAGTCATAGTACAATGAAAAAAGCCACAACAGCGGAAAAAAAGAGAAATGAAGAGTATCTCCACAAGTACTGAACAACAAGTGCAACAACCCAAGAAAGAATATGGAAGACAACATGAAGCTCCCAAAAGAACAAGGAACTTGGAGCCGGCACCATGGCTCACTTGGCTAATCCTTCGCCTGCAGCGCCAATATGGGCGCCGGGTTCTAGTCCCGGTTATTCCTCTTCCAGTCCAGCTCTCTGCTGTGGCCTGGGAAGGCAGTGGAGGATGGCTCAAGTGCTTGGGCCCTTGCACCTACATGGGAGACCAGAAAGAAACACCTGGATGCTGGCTTTGGGCTGGTGCAGCGCCGGCCGTAGTGGCCATTTAGGGGGTGGACCAATGGAAGGAAGACCTTTCTTTCTGTCTCTATCTCACTGTCTATAATTCTACCTGTCAAAAAAAAAATTAAAAAAGAACATGGCATTCAACAGAAGATTATGAAGACGAGATAGAAGAAATGCAAGACCTGGAACTCAAAAAATTGATGATAAGAATACTTAGAAGTAATCAAAAGCAAATGCACGAACTGCTGAAATCCATGCAGGACATGAAAGAAAATCTCTCTCGTGCAAATGAAATCTTAAGGAGGAATCAAAATGAAATGAAGAATTCAATAGAGCATGAAATTGAGATATTGAAGAGAAATTAAAATGAAATGAATAATTCAATAGAACAAATAAAAAATGCAGTTGAGAGCCTAAAAACAGAATTAGTGAGGCAGAAGAGCGAATATCGGACTTAGAAGACAGAGCATAAGAAAGTATACCAAACCAAAGACAAGAAGAGGAAATTAGAAATCTGAAAAATATTGTTGGGAATCTACAGGATACTATTAAAAAACCCAACATTCGGGTAGTAAGAGTTCATGAAGGCATGGAGAGAGAGAATGTATCAGAATGCTTTTTTAGTGAGATTTTTCCAGAAAACTTACTGGGTTTGGAGAAAGAATGAGACCTCCAAGTACGGGAAGCACACAGAACTCCCAAGACATGACCAGAAAAGATCCTTGCCACAACACATTGTAATCAAACTCACTACAGTGAAACATAAAGAAAAGATCCTAAAATGTGTGAGAGAGAGAAACGTCAGATTACTCTCAGAGGATCTCCAATTAGACTCACAGCGGACTTCTCATCAGAAACCCTACAGGTTAGGAGGGAATGGCAAGATACAGCCCAAGTCCTAAGAGAAAAAAACTGCCACCCCAGAATATTACATCCTGCAAAGCTCTCATTTGTGAATGAAAGTAAAATAAAGACCTTTCATAGCAAATGAAGATAACATTGTTTTTCCTGTATCCCATAAGTTTTGATATGTTGTGTTGTTAAGAGGAAAGTTTATAGCAATAGTTGCCTACATCAAGAAACTGGAAATGCACCAAATAAATGTGCTTTCAGTGCATCTGAAAGATCTAGAAAAAATACAGCAAACCAA